GGGGGACGGGACTGCCGCGAGCTGCCGGCCCGAGAGGGGCGGGGCCGCCCCGGAGGACCGTTAGCCCCGCCCATCCGGTCGCTGCCCACGCGCGCGGGCCCCCGGGTGTGGAGAGGTTCGCGGAGATTCGAAAAGGCGCGGGGAGCGGGGGGGCGGGGCCGGGGGGGTGGAGCGCAGGGCGTGTTCTGATTGGCCCGGGCCCCCAGCCTTTGCCCGCCCGGGCCGGGACCACGCCCATGCTGGGTAAGGTGCTGGCGTTGGGTGCTGTGTCTCCGCTAAACGGTTTTTTTTTTTGTTGCTGTTTTTTCTTGCTGCCTCGGATTTCCACGTCTAGCGTTATAGTCCTACGCTTTGAGGCAAAAGAGTGGTGATCTTTTTTTTTGAAAGATAATCGACAGCTGTTGAAAAGAGATTTTTGAGGCGTAAGGCAGCGAACGTGACGAACCCAAGGCGGGTGTGGTGGCGCAGGTCTGAGCTCGACACCCAGAAGGAAACCGCCTGTGCCCCCCTCCCCCGACAAGTGTACACCAAACATAGAACCCAGGGCTTTGCAAATGTTAGGCAACTGCCAACCCGCTGGGCTGGACCCCACCCCTGCACGCCGAGGAGGCTGAAGCAGAAGGATTGCAGTCTCAGGGCTAGGCTGCGCTAAATAGCTAGACCCTGTCCTCAGGAGAAACCTAGAGGTTCATAAAACTTCATTTTCCCTCCGTTAGCTGGGTAGCTTAAACCCTAGGAACAATAGGACTTGAACACCATTGGCTGCTAGCTTGGGTGATACTCACCACGGCACACAGACAAAGCAGGGGTGGGTGTTTCAGTTGCACAATGAGTTGTAGACAGAATTAAGATGGCTCCGGTCTCATTGTTGGGGTGAATCTAGAATCTAGAATATCTCATGTTGGGTAGAAAAGAAATTGAGGCTAAAGGAAGGAATCCTTCAACCTTGTCATTGAACCTCTGATTTTTAAGATTCTGAGATTTTTTTTTTTTTTAAGGAACGTCATTTAATTGGATTTTCTGCTGCCATTGTTATTCAGTTAAAATTTCCAATATGTTTTAGTGTTTCTAGATGATTTTTTAATGATGTTACTTGATTCTACCAAATGATTTTCCTGACAATTGTCATGGGTGTGATTTGAGGTTCCTTTGTGCTGATGACATAGAGAATTGCAGAGAGATTGATTGCATGCTTTGGAAATCATTTTCAGGACTTTCCTTACCAGTGGATTGTGTAGCCAGCACAGCCAGTCTCGTCTTATACTCATCATGGCGTCCTCTGGTAGGTAATTGATTTAGAAAAGCTGAAATTAGGATAGGCATATGGCTTTAGAACAGGAAGTGGTGCAGATCTTAAGCTTTTAATTTGCTATTTGTGTCCTTTCAAAACTTAATTTACAAATAAAAAAAGCAATTAAATTTTATCACTTGGATGAATATATGGGATAAATATATGGAAAACTCATCATTATTCATAATTAGACAGTTTGGCTTGGTTCAAAGCAAAACTGTGGGGTTTTATACAAACCATTCTTTGTTTAAAAAAAATGATTACCAAATACTAATTCTTCATCAAATGGTATTTGTTAGCCCAAAATGTTGGGCTTTTTAAAAAGTCGGTGTTATTTGATTTCTTACTTACCCTGTCATTAGCCTTTATTCTGTGCATTAAATTGTTGGTTTTTAGAAAATTGTAGAAGCCATTATTTGAATAAGCAAGCTGGGTTTTTCTTATTTCTCGTAAATCTGATCAACTCCAGATATTCAGGTGAAAGAGCTGGAGAAGCGCGCTTCAGGCCAGGCTTTTGAGCTGATTCTCAGCCCTCGGTCAAAAGAATCTGTCCCCGACTTCCCCCTTTCCCCCCCAAAGAAGAAGGATCTTTCCTTGGAGGAAATTCAGAAGAAATTGGAAGCTGCAGAAGAAAGACGCAAGGTAAAGCAGACGATTCACAGGAGACAGGGCGCTTGTTAATGTAATGAGGCAAACTGGTCTTATTTTTGTAGAAAGGAAGAAAGACTTGAAGCTGTACTGTGAGTGTAAGTAGGAAATGTCCTTGTGCTAGTGGTTGGAAGAAAGCAGCGTTTATTGAGCTCCTGTTAGGAACCAGCCCCTTGGCTCAGGAGCTGTCTCTAATAAACGGAGACTCCATGCTGGGCTTTGTCTCAGGTAACACTAGCAAATTGTATTAAGGCATTTTCCTGAAGTCCGGTTAGTAAGTAGTAGAGGCAGAATTTAAACTAAGACATGTAGTACATTGAAGCGCATGCTTTTCCTTTAAATAAAATAAAACAGAACATTTGTTGGCAAATGTTTTTTTTTTTATTCCCATAATTTTGCTTTTTGAGAGCAATAAAAGCTTTACAATTCCAGGGATGTGGTATTGAAACCTGCTGAGGGCTGGAGGGTTGACCCAGCAGTTAGGAGCACTGGCTAGCCTTCCCGAGGATCCTTGTTCCATTCCCAGCACCCACATGGTGGCTCACAACCAAACCAATCCCGGGGCATCTCACTGCCTTCTGCCTCTCCGTGGGCACCACACAAAGATGTATACAGCCAAGTGTGCAAGCTAAACAACCACGAACATAAAGTAAGATAAGTAAAAAAAAAAGTTCCAAATGAGAGTCTAGAGGTGTGATTCTCCTACCTCCACTTTTCCAAGAGTGCTTTCTGTCGTCGCGAGGACCAGACTAAGGTTCCTAGAATCACACTGGCAGGGCACACCTGCCTGTAACTCTAGTTCCAACGAATTGATGCCCTCTTCCAGCCCTTGAAGGCCTGACTTGCACATGTGCATATATTCATACAGACCGCACACGTGAAAGACTAATGAAAAGTTCAACAAATACTAATAAAGTTATAGAAGAGTTGAAAAATCTAAACTATAGCTGGAATTAAGATGTTTCGCTTCCCAGAAGTATCTACTGTTGGCATGTATTTCCATCCATTCGGTATTCTTGGGAACTTTAGACAGGGGCTAGAGAGTGGCCCAGCAGTTAGGACACTTGCTGCCTTTGCAGATGAGCCAGATTCCGTGAACAGCACCCACATGGCAGTAAATACCAATCCTCACTCAGGTTACAGGGACCCAGTACCCTCTTCTGGTCTCCCCAGGGCAAGCATCCACTGCAGTGCACCTAAATGCACGCAAACACTCATGCATAAGATACAAATCTATTTTTACAAAAGAATTTTACATAAGTTTTTATTGTCTCTCTTCCCCATAACTATGATTGAGGTTGGTGGATTTAATTTTAATTTGGGGAAGCTAAGGCACGAAAGGTAAAGTGTAAAGTAATAACCAAACCTGAGCGAGCAACACTGGGGCCACATCTGCATCACCCGCTGCAGCACGTGCACATTTCGGTTGCAGTTCTGCACCCTACTGTCAGCACCATCTCCAGGGAGAAGGGGGGGGGGGGGGTTAGCTGGGCACGTCTACCTGGAAAGCGGAGGTAGGAGAATCAGAAGTTCAAGATCATCCTTAGCTACATACCAGGTGGAAGCCAGCCTGGCTCGGGGTGTGGATCACGGAGAGTGCTTGCTGGGCAGTTGAGTGCAGTGCCCAGCTCTTGGGGAAGTAGAGATGGAAGATCAGAATTTCAGTTTGAGGCCAGCCTAGAGTCTGAAACCTTGTCCCAAAAGCAAATAAAAAAATGCCAGCATTTACCATGTATGCCATCTGCCTGCTCTTCCATGTTTGGAGTTTCTGGACCAGTAGGATGCAGTATAACCAGACTAGAAGGAAAGCTAGGCCTAATGCTCTGGAGTACACATTACACAGAAATTGCCTAAGAAGTGAAACTCCCATCTGGACAGAGATACTATGGAAGAGAATTGGCACAACTACTGACAAGGGCCCTGCACTTATACTCTGCAAATTAGTTCTTAAAATATATGTGAATCTGTTCATTGCTGCTGAAAGTTCAGCAATGCACATTCTTTTCATAGGCTTTGGAGTTAAATATGCAAATTCTTCAGAGTGCCATTCTTAAGTAGATTACTCATCATATGAACACTTTAGAGCAATTCATAAGGATTTCCTTAACGAATAACTTGGAGGGAAATCTGAACAAGCTAGGTTTGGTGTGTTAGAGAGCTACAATCTGAAATGAATATAGGAGGATCAGAGGCTCCAGGTAAGCCCTTGCTAGCCTGGGTTACATGAGATCTTATTGCAAAAAGAAAGGAAAAAAATCAACCTCTGAATGAGTAGTAGTTTTCCAAAGTAAACACAAACACTGGTTGGAAAACAGGTGATTGAGTGTTTTAAAATAGACACTTCTGCTCCTCACTTGAGTATTGATTTCAAGGTTTCTGCCTCTTTGCCTGATAATTTCTGTTGCACTGTTAATTAATGCCAAAGGTACTTCAGAGGGGCCTTGTTAAACTTTTTTGCAGTCTCATGAAGCGGAAGTCTTGAAGCAGCTTGCCGAGAAGCGGGAGCATGAAAAAGAAGTGCTCCAAAAAGCTATCGAGGAGAACAACAACTTCAGCAAAATGGCAGAGGAGAAACTGACCCACAAAATGGAGGCCAACAAAGAGAACCGGGAGGCGCAAATGGCTGCCAAGCTGGAGCGTTTGCGAGAGAAGGTTGGTTTCTTGCTTTATGGAGTTAGCAGCTTTAGGCAGCAGTGAATCATCTTGATAAAAATATAACTGGTTCTTTTTTGTCATCCGTTTGGGAGTTAACATTCAATAAGAAGAAACTTCATCTTAATATAGGGTGTTGTAGAATTCATAGCATAATTGCATATTCCTTGGAAGAGCAGTTGGAGGCTTTAGCTGTTATAGTCCCCAAAAGACCCTCCAGGTTTGAAGATGACAGTTGGGATTGTGGGTTTGTGGTTGCCGTGGGTTGTGTGACAGGCTGCGTTGGACCTCCTAGTAGGCAGGGGACAGGGCTCGCCAGGTTATTTTTTTTGGCAGATGACACTTACATACAGTTTTTTCCTAGGACAAACATGTTGAAGAGGTACGGAAGAACAAAGAATCCAAAGATCCTGCGGATGAGACTGAGGCCGACTAATTTGTTCCGAGAACTGATTTTCTCCCCCACCCCTTCCTGAATATCCAAAGACTGTACTGGCCAGTGTCATTTCCTTTTTCCCTCCTGACGAATATTCTAGAAGCTGAAGTAGGACTGTATAGGTAGATCAGACCATGAGATGTTTCCGGGGCTCAAGGGGAGAAACTGAAAGTGTTTTACTCTTTTTTAAAGTGTTGGTCTTTCTAACGTAGCTATTTTTCTCGTTGCATCTTTCCCACTTCGCGCCCTGGATGTGCTGGGTTAATGGCTAGTGCTGTATTGACTGTGGAAGACGTTCGTGAAAAGTGTGTAGTGGCTTCTTCCAACCCGTTAGATGCTGACTCTCTGTTTACTTTGCCACCCCGATTCTGTCCCAAGCTCACCAGATGCTACTGTCCTTGAATGGTTAATAAACTGCACAGTGCTCTTGGTGGCAGTGACTTCTTTCTGTCCGGGTAGTGACAAGTTGTAGGCTTTTTCACACGAGGCCTCCGGCTGCCGCAGACACCCAGGCAGTTCTCTGCTCCCAGTCTCTCGGATTGTCCTTCTACAATCATGGCTTTGTTGTGCTGTCTCACCCAGATCAGCTGTTATTTTTTTTTTCAGATGTTTACGTGCAAACAAACAGTGTTTTGTTCCCGTTAGAAAGGCAGATTACAGGCACAAATGGTGATTTCTAGAGAACAGTTTAGAGGCGACCTTAAGGTCTTCGTATATTTGATGGTTGGTTTGCTTACTGTGACAGTTGGGAGGGGAGGCGCACGCTAATGCTCATTCCTTCAGTCGATGGCCTGAGATTCAGAACACTAACACCTGAGAGTGGGAAAGCACCCTTCATCTTGGCGAGCAGCGCTGAGCTGGCTTGAGAGGCAGACACCTCACCTTGAACCCAGAGGCTGTAATGTTCACTCTGGTCAGCACAGTGCCTCACAGTTCAGGAAAGCCCGGGCAGCTTTCCCAGCCCCTTTGGGAAATAGCTTTAATTACATAGAGTCTATCTGCTCCTCACATCTGCATAAAGCTCTTAGAAGCCAAGTATCTACAGCAAGAGCCTGCTTGCAGGAGGCCTAAGCATGCCTTTGGGACCAGGCTTAATGGCTGTGCCTGTAATCTCGGTACTTGGGAAGCAGAGATGGGAGGGTGCTGGGGAATTGAAGGCCAGCCTAGACTACAGAGCAAGCATCCCCTTACGATAAATGCAGAAGTGGCGCTCCCTCTGGCTGACCAACACGCACCTCTACAACTCTGGTTTCACCAAACTTCTGAGAGCCTTAGGGGAGCTCCTGTCTTGAGAGTCAGTGGGGGCGGGGCAGCCTGGGTGTGCAGTGAGCGTGTTTAGTTCCGCTGCGTATTTGGCACTGTATAAGTGATCGCTGTTTCCCCAGAGGCTAGTGAGGGGTGCACTTCTGGTCTGGAGAATGAGTATGCATTGATGGTGTGCTTCGAGTCGACCATCCAATCGTGCAGAAGGTAGAGCATCATGGGAGTTCTGAGAGTGCCCTAACTGGGTATGCTGCAGTACTCCCAAGCAGCTGTAAGGCCTGGGAAGCTTAGGAGAGAGGAAGCCCTTTGTGATGCCAGTCACAAGCACTGTGCTCTTCCAGAGGTCCTGAGTTCAATTCCCAGCGCCCACATGGCGGTTCACAACCATCTATAAAGATCTGACACCTTCTTCCGGCCTGCAGCAGAGCACTCACACATAAAATTAATATTGAGAAACTGGGGATTTTGTTTTCATTTTGTTTTTGTTTCTTCGAGACTGTTTCATCATACAGCCCTGGCTGTCTTGGAACTTGCTCTGTAGACCAGGCTGGCTTCAAATAAGGATTACTATACCCATTTTTTGACCTCTAAATCCTAAAGAGACAAGATGGATCCAAGGGAAGCAGCAGGTGGGAAGAGCCAGATGTCCCTTGACTGTCATCTCTGCAGATGGCATGAGAGGGCAACTGACCTCAGCATGTCCAGGGGCTTCTGGGCCAGGACTTCCACCCAATGGGTTCCTGCTTCCCCCACTGGCAAAAAGCCCTGGGTGGCTGGGGGCTGTCCAGGCGGAGCTTGTCACCTCGCTCCGCTTCTCTCACACATTACAGCTAATTGTTGCATTATCTCATTGTCCTCCCACAGCCCTCAGGTGAGAAATGAACAGACTCAGGCCATGTGTCCAAGGTGACATGACCAGCACAGTGGTAAAATCATAGAAAGCGCAGCCTCTGTGACCAGCTGGAGCTCCAGAGCAAAGCTGTCCTGACTGACGAGAGTCCTGCTGAGGCCTCAAACCTGCCCTATAGTGAAGCCTAAGTTTAAAAGTAGCCCGGCGGGGGTGTCACACACCTTTGACCCTCAGCACTCAGGAGGCAGAGGCAGGTAAATCTTTGTGAGTTCAAGGCCAGCCTGGGCTACAGAGCAAGTTCTAGGCTAGCCAGGGCTACACAGAGAACCCTTGTCTAGAAAAACCAAACTAAATAAGCAAATGGTCTTTTTAAAAAGCACTGTGGGGCCTGCAAGCTAGGTAAATAAAGGTACCTGAGTTGAGTTCAGTCTCCAGAACCGCCTGCCTGCGCCCACATATGTACCCAAACAGGCCAAGTAAGTAAACGTGTGGGGGGAGAGCTGAATTAATCATCCCGCAGTCTACCTGCTTGTCCTGGGGACCCCAAGGGGAATCCGCCCATTTTCTGGAGGCGAAGCTGCCGCTGCCTCAGCTCTGCCAGTTGGCCTGGAAGGCGCTCAACTCTCTGGAATCCTCCCACACTCAAAGGCACCAGCTGACAAGTTGGTGGCCTGCAGCCAGCGTCAGTCCGCAGGCGTGTTGGTGGCCCATGCTGTGTTTTAAATGATTGAATCAGTTGACATTTGCACTGAAGAGTCTGATTTGGGGCTTAAAAAACCGTGAGCTTCGGCTTGCAGGCCCACCCCGCAGTCCGCTTCTGGTGGCTGCTGCCCCCTGGCGGCAGGACGTGTGCACCACGGCTCCCTTCTCCGCCCCTACAGCCGAGCTTAGTGGGCGATCCTGTCTCAAAACCCAAGACGGACAACTCTCGAGGAACAACAACCGAAGTTTACCTCTGCCCTTCACGCATGGACAGACACGCGCCCAGCGTGGTTTTCATTGAGTAGCCAGGAAAATGCTCAGGATGAGAGCCAGGCGAGGTGGCGCACGCCTTTGATCCCGGCACTCAGGGAGGCAGGAGGCTGGTTGGCAGCAACTGCGTGCTAGAGTTAGACAAGGGACAAGCAGGGCCTGACCCTCTCCCTAGTGACAGATCCACAGCTTCATAGGTCCTCAGCCTGCCCATGACAGGAAGGCTGAGAACGGCCTCCCAGCCCACTCTACCGGCCCACAGGACCATCTCTCTGCAGCTGGCTTGCTGGGAGTGCCTGTTCTTTGGGGGACCTAAAATATTTGTAAGCCAGGTAGTGGTGGCACACACCTTTCCTGCCAGCCTTCAGGAAGAAGAGGCAGTCGGATCTCTGTGAGTTCAAGGCCAGCCTGGTCTACATAACGACCTAGAACAGAAGTACTCAAAGTCAGTTTGGAGGGTGCTGACACTTGAACATTCCGTGTCTCTTCTGAGACACCAAACTCCAGCCCGTCTGACCCGCTGTCCCTGTGCGCCTGTGCTGTCTGCGAGTGTGTTTTTCTTTCTTTCCTTTCTTTCTATGACTCAGGTTTGCTGATTCACAGTATCTAAGTTTACATACGATGGGCTAGGTGACACTTGCCTGTAATCCCAGTACTCGGGGCAGCAGACATAGGTGGATGTCAGTGAGTTCGAGGCTGGCCTGGCCTACAAATGGAGCCAAGGCTACACAGAAAAACCCTGTCTCAAAAAAAAAAAAAAGTTTACACATGCCATCCTAATGCTTGAAATGGTCCCGTGATGGAAGTTCCACTCTGATGGTTTACAGGGAATTGAAGTGCGGAGACCAGGGTCATACAGCAGGCTGCTCTCTCAAGCTTGTCTCCCAGGTCCCTTCCGGCTCAGATCCAGCACGTGAGCTGTGGCTGGTGCTGTGTTTACCATCTCCCTCTGACCACCCCCCTCAGCGGCTCCATTTGGCCATCATGGTGGGCTTGCCAGCTGCCCCTCCAATCCATTCTCTCCTGATAAAAGACCTGCATGGACCTTCCTAAGCCCTGTTCCACCTGCTTACATCACCACCCCTTTCTGCCAACCCCTCTCCCCTGCCTGGAACAGGGATGTGATGCCTGGAGCACAGCAGGCATCTTGTGATGGTGTAAAAGTCCCACGACAGAGGTGATGAGAGCAGGGAACAGCTATGCCCCAGGGCTTTGGTGATATTTGGCTGCCACACCAGCCAGGACTCATAGCCAGGTTCTGTTGCAGGAGGCAAATTGATCCAGTTATGTGATCCAGTTACATATTTAAGCTGCTGGCTGATGAGGAGGAGAGATTCTGACCCGATGCGCAGCGCTGGAGCCGGGGTGGCAGCAGGCCAGCAAAGCGCCTGCTGTGCAAGCATGAGGACCCGAGTTTGATCCCAGCACCCCCATGAAAAAGTGGGGCCTGGTGCACTGCTGTAACCCCAGCTCGGGGAGGGAGAGGGGGAGGGAAGACAGGTGGCCCCCTGGAGCTCTCTGGCTAGCCAGTGTAGCCGACGGATGAGCTGGCTTTAACGAGAGAACATACACCCAAAAAACGGGGTGGATGGACATGGTGGTGCAAATCTTTACACCCAGCACCTGGGAGGGAGAGGCAGGCCGAGCTCTTCGGGTTCAAGGCCAGCCTGGTTTACATTGTGGGACCCTGCCCAGTAATAATAATAAATAATAAGGAGAGCAGTTGAAGAAGAAACCCAATATCAACCCCTGTCCTCCACATGAACGTGCACACACAGACATGTATGTATACCTGAACAAACACATGTCCATACCCACATGAAAACAACATAGCATATACCACATTAAAAAAAAAAAAGTTTCCTTCATGTACCAAGTTATCCACTATCTATTCAGTCACTCAAAAAAATGTTAAGAGTATGTGCTCAGAATGATAGGGCCTTACGTTCAACCCCCAGAACCAAAAGAAAATATATTGCAGAACTATGTTTCAGACACTATGCTAGGGGCTGAGAACTAGCTGTGCTGCAGGGGACGGCAGGAGTGCGCCCTCTGGTGGCATCTGGAAGGCACACCCGGCTTCTGCCCCGCTGACCCCGAGAAGTTCTGTAGGTGCTGGAGTTTGCCTGCCAGGCGGGGCAGGGCACGTCTGCTCTCAGGTCCTCACCCACACAACAAGGTTAGGCAACCCAAACCATCAGCATTTCTCCCAGCGCTCTGTCTGAGCCAGATACCAGCCTGCATTCTCGCTGAGGGAGGCGTGCTTGTCCCCATTTTATAGCGATATGCGGAAGGTCTGTCATGTGGCTCACTCTGGCTGTGCTAGATTCAAACCCAGAGCTTTTG